ATTTGCTCCCATCATGCAGTGGTGGGACAAGCAGAGGATAACAGTTACTGATTTCTGACAGGAAAAAATACATGTGCACAAAAATTATTCATTGCACCATTATTTATAGTTGCACAGACCAGAAGCAATACCAGTACCTGCAGTCAAAGATGAAATGTTAAAAATTTGCTTCACTTGAATGAGTATTACTTTGTCATTAAAAATGTCAAAGCAAAGACAGACAACTTGGGAAATACAGGACATAAGTGGAGGAAAACAGTGGGATCTAAAATTATAATATAATTTTATAAAAGCATGTTTATGAAAGAAGACTAGAAAAGAATAGCAAAAAGAATCATTGTGTTTATGGTGACATTTTTCTTAAAATTTGTTAGTATAATTTATGCATATCTTTTTCTTTTTTTTCTTTTAAAAATCTTTGTTCACCTAGCCTAAATGCAATACTTCCCAGCCATTCTCAGTTCCCAGTTCACCCTTGAACTCAGAGGATATCCTCAGGGTGGGGAAAAGGAAAGGGTTAGTGTCCCACTTGCTCAGAGCACTGTAACTGGTGCTCCACATGACCGTGTATACACACTTTTGTCTACACTTCTCAGCATCCCCATGTCCCCGGTCCTAGGTTTCCACACTTAGCAGAACAAAGTAAATAATCCCAAACCACCAAAATTTCCCACCTGAACTTGTACTTTGACAGGCCTAGCCATTTGTGTTCCCCAGACAAGCAAAATCAGGTCACTTGAGAACTTGTGAAAAATGCAGAATCTCAAGTCCCATTCTTGGTCTTCTGTATTAAAATCTGTACTTTAGCAAGATCCTGCATTGATTCATCTGCACGTTACAGTTTGAGTAGAATTGCCGAGGTGGTTCAGACAGTGCAGCACATATGTGGTACAGAACTGAAGAGCACTGCAAAAGGCTTTGAAAACAGAACTGACATTGAAACCAGAATTTGGATCCTGAACCCAGCTATGTTGATTGCCTTCTAAAACGAAAATAGCAGGATTCCCCCAGAGCTTCATAACAAATGTTCAGACTTTGCAGGATACAATCCTAAATTACTGGGCATGCAGAGAACCAAGAAAATCTCAACTCACAAAAAGACAACAGATGCCAGCACCGAGATGACACAGATGTTGGAATTATCTGGCAAAGATATAAAGCAGCTATTATAAAAATGCTCCAAGAAGTGAGGGCAAACAGTCTTGAAATGAGGGGAATAATAAGTCTCAGCAAAGAGATAAGAAGCTATAAAGAAGAACCAAATGGAAATTTTAGAATTGAAAAATAAAATAATCAAAATAACCTCACTGGATGAATGAGTATCATCAGAATGGTTAAATAACAGAAGGAAGAGTGAACTTGAAGATAGAACACTAGAAACTATCCTGTCTCAAGACAGAGGGAAAAAAAAGTTTAAAAATGAAGTTTCAGGGGTTTGTGGGCAAATTATAAAAGGTCTAACATTGGGGTGATCAGAGTCTCAGAAGAAGAGAAAGAGTACAGTACAGAAGAATTATTTGAAGAAAATAATGCCTGAAAACTTCCCAGATCGGGCAAAAGACATAAACCCACAAATTCAAAAAACTCAGCAAACCCTAAATAGGATAAACCCCAAGGAAGTCCATGCGTGGACATGTAATCAAACTGCTTAAAACTAAAGATCAAGAAAAAATCGTGAAAGCAACTAGGAAAAAACAATGACTTGGCTTACAGAAGAATAAGAACTTGAATGTCGATTTCTCATCAGAAATCATGGACACCAGGAAGAAGTAGATCCATATTCTTGGAGAAAAAAGTGTGGAGAAAAAAGAATTGTTAACCCAGAATTCCGGATCCAGCAAATATTTTGCTTTATTTATGAAGGATATTAAGATATTCTTAGCGAAAGGAAACTAAGAGAATTCTTCAACAGCTCTTCTCAAAAGGAATTGCTAAAGGAAGTTCTTCAGACAGAAGGCAAATGATACCAGATGGAGACTTGGAACATCAGGAATGAAAGAAGAGCAATAGAAAAGGTAAATGTCTGGGTAAATATAATTGACTGCTCTCCTCTTGAATTCCCCAAAATATGTTACAGTCGAAAGCAAAAATCACAGCATTTCAGTGTATGTTGGTGTAACGCAGATCAACTCTAGAATAAAGGGAGGAGAATAATGGACCTATATATGCTGGTACAGTCTCGGCCTTCTACTTGAAATGGTAAAATACTGTTTCTAAGTAGACTGAAGAAGTTAAGTATGTATATTCAATCCTTGGAGCAACCACTTGGGAAAAAACTCTACAAAGAGATCTAGTCAGAGACCCTAAAATTAAAAAAAAAAAAAAAAAAAGGAAACAGAAGAATGAAAAAACAGAGGGAACAGTTGGAAAACAAATAATAAATAATAGATATAAATCTAAACATCTCACATAAAATCACATTAAATGTAAATGGTCCCAGGTTTTGAAGTTGGGCAGACCTGGGATGAATATTGTATTGGCCACTTACTACTTTTGTGGCCTATAAGAAGCCTTGCTTCGCTGAGCTTCAGTTTCCTCATCTGTAAAATAAGAATAAAAATGATGTATTCAGAGGGCTGCTGTAAAGACAAAATGAGATGATGTATATAAGGAGCTCAGTACATCCATCTGTTAAAAAAGTAGGAGAAATGCATATTTGCTCACTCTATATGCAGAGTATCTTTGAAAGGACATATGAGAAACTGATATCTTAGTCATCTATAGAAGACCTAGGAGGCTGGGGAACAGAGGTGAGGAGGAGAATTTTTACTTTTCTGGGCCCATAATCTTTTATATGCAATTCTGATTTCAAAAGAGCTCTGGAAACCAAGGGGTTTTTTTCCATAAGACTGGTGCCAAACCTTGTTCAGTAGCAAAACCTGACCTGAAATGAGGAGTGAGTGTTTTTATCTAAGAGGAGAGGGGAGCACAGAAGGAAGAAATTGTGTGTGGTCAGGACCACCCTCACATTCCCTAGAGGGGCCCCCACTGGAGCTGGGACATATGATCCCATGGGCCCAGCCAGGCTCTTTCGCCTACAGCATTAGTGTGTAACACTCTCCTTCGGTTGATTACCAGATGAAGTAGTAGGGGCTTGATTCCAGAGACCATATACAAAAATTACCTTTCTTTTAAATCCCTGTAGCCTGCCTCATTCAACATTCTGGACTGAGACTATTTTAATGTGGGTTCTGAGCGTGCACTTAACGAGTTCACAGAAGTGTGCGTGTGTTACAGTGAGGGGGTGTTAAGTGTTGAGTCAAAGGATATGCTGTGACAATTTCAAGTACCCAGTGGTCAGGGTGGGCCCGGCAGCTGCCTTTCCAGCCTCCATTGTTCTCCCTGCCCCACGCTCTGTGGCCCAGGAGAGAGAAAGAGAGAAGGCTGCGTGTTTCAGGAGCAATACGGCTCTGTTCTCCCAGGCATTCTTATAGCCATTAGAAGCTCCTTCTAGGGCAGGTCACGGGGATAGTAAGTGAGATGTTCGCAACTCTCCAGCACACCTGGGGTATCGGGGTGGCAGGATGATAACACAGGTCACCAGAAACTTCCACCACCAGCTCCATGAACCATGACTTGGGAACAGTCATCTAGGTCAGGAAAAATTCCTTCCCTTGGAAACCTAGCCACATCTACCTAAATCACAGTATCCTTTCCAGCATATTAGCTAGAACTGGCTGAAGAAACACCTTTTGGATTTTTTTCCCAGTTCTTTAATTAATGGCTCCTTACCTGTAAGCATATTTTAGCTGCTGTTTAGCTCCGGAGGTCTGGCAGGAACACCCCACCCCACCCCCACCCTCAGAACTGCCAGGTTCGTATCGCTCGCTAGGACTCCAGGCAGACTCTAAAGCACGCTTTTGCAAATTCTAAGTGTTTTTTGTTCTATTATATCCATATCCTTTATAGAAAAAAAGCAGGAAAGTATAAAGAAAATCATTTCAGGAGTAAGTTACCACTGTTTACATTTTCAGTGTGCTTCTTTATAGTTTTATTTATATATACACACCCACACACGCATTTCTCACCATTGATTTCCTGGGCTATTCCTAGGCTGTCCTTTTCCCCCACAGTTAACACTGGAGCATAAGCATCATTTCATCTCAGTTTGAAACTCTCTAAGAACATTGTCTCCATAATTGCATTTAGGGATATACCATAACGTGCCTAACTGGTCCCTATTTAGGCCAACTCCAGTTCCCTTGATTAAAGTCTCTGTGGTGCTATTTTAATTTGAATGATGTGTTGTTCTTTAAGATGAATACTTAGATATGAAACTATTGGGTCAAAGCATCTAAGACTTCTGAAAGACGCACGTTATGGTATGTATGTTAGACAGTATAGAATTGCTCTCCAGAAAGCACGCCCTCGCTTCATGCTTCTAGCTTGTGAATTCCCAGTGAGAGTAAAAATGGGCTCTTGGTGTTGGGGTGGAACACTCTTCGAGGTGACAGTCATTTGTGGCCCCCCAGTGGGCTGCAGTGCGTAAACAGTGGTGTCTGTGGGAATGAAGTGGCCTCTGCAGAGGCCGTCATGGAAAACGGCTGCAGAGCCCTGTTCTAGCTGTGTGTGGGCACCCATCTCACTCCAGCCTGGAAGCTTTTAAATCTTGGTCTTGGCGTTCTGGTTTTAGTGTTCGGATATTTTCTGATCTAAAAGTTCTTGGTTCTTTACACGAAGTTTAGGAACTTGAGAAAAATGTAAATAAATAAAATTTTATCTGGAGGATACCATGGTTAATATTTGTACTTTTGACAGTATTGGGATCCTCCTTGGGTTTGCTTTGTGGTCAGCTCTTTTCAGTATTGCCCCTGTAACATTATCAGCGTTAGTCTGTGCTGAAGACCACTTTGAAGTAGCCCTTGTGTTATGGTCTCAGGCGGGGCTCTCCCCTGCCTGGGAGTGGAGTTGTGACCCCACAGGCGTCGGGTTCAAGCCCCTGGGAACCCAGGCGCCCGACTGCTCTGGGACTTGTGCTAATTGCCCCTTGTTTGTTTCAGGTGTGATCCCCTGGGCCCGTTTGCTGTCGGGGGAGAGGACCTGGACCCCTTTGGGTGAGTACTGCTGGGGAGGGGTCAGCAACACAGCCTACTCTTGTGACTTTTCAGCCCCCACTCATCTTCTAATCTTAGAGCTTTCTGTCAGTCTTCCTTTGGGGTGACGGAGGCCGCCGTGGCTGAGAGGCTGCGAAGTCCCCCCACTGTTCCACTCTGCCGTGCCTGGAGCCCTGCGGCGAGCTCTGCTGTGGGGGAGGGCTGAGCAAGCCAGGCAGGCAGCTCCTCTGTCACCCGCTGGCCCTGGTGGGGGGGGGTCACAGATCACCCTGAGGCCCTCTAAGGAAACCGCAAGAAAGCCAGCATTGTGAATTGTCTCAATGCTACTGCTAGTCCGTAGACCTAAAGTAGTGCCCTGCGGAGCCTTGCGATGGTTCTTCATGGACCTTGGCATTCTGGCACCTGTTCTTGATCAAATTGTCCCCCCTGGATGTAGGACATGGCAGGAATCTCCGTTTTGTGGGTTCAGGGAGCCTGGAGAGCTAAAGGGCCAGGCCGCGTGCTCTTGGTGTTCTTGTTCTTGCCCATTTCTGCTGGCGCTCAGACAACCATCCACCTGTGTCTGCTTGAGCTGTCCACAGTAGCTAGCCCGGGCATTCGTAGTCCGCTCTCCCCTCCTTCGCCTCTTCTCCAGCAGCTCCTTGCCATGCCTGCTCACCCATCTTTTCTTCTTGCTTCAGGTGTCGGAGAGGTGGCATGATTGTGGACCCCCTGAGGTCTGGCTTCCCAAGAGCACTCATTGACCCATCCTCGGGCCTCCCAAACCGTCTTCCTCCAGGCGCTGTGCCCCCAGGAGCACGCTTTGACCCCTTTGGACCCATTGGGACCAGCCCATCTGGGTAGGTACTCATGCAGGCATGCTGGGAAGTAGGGCCTGATGGCAGCTCCACCCAGCGTTGCAGGAACGAGGGGTCTGACTGCAGGTGCAGAGGTGCTGCTGGCTCCCTCCGCCACTGCCAAGGGAGTGGGGCCTCCTCCGGGCCCCTGCCTGATGCCTCCCTGGAGCTCCCCATTCCTCGGTGCCCCCCTTCCTCCAGCCCCCCGTTAGGGAGCACTCAGAGGAGGAAGAGCTTCTCACACTTACTGAAGTTTAGTCTGTGTCGGGGACTCGCTGGATCCTAATAGCAACACTCCTGGGTGCATATTACCCTTCACATCCTATAGAAATCAAGGCCCTGAAAGATGAATTAACTTCTCCAAGGTGGGAGAATCAGGATTCAAGCCATGGCTGTAGAGCACATGCTCTTCAGCCCCACAAAGTACCGCATCGTTCTGGAGGACAGGCTCCCTCTGCCCTCAGGGCCCATCTGCCTGTGTGCGCTGGCCCCTCCATCACTCCCAACTCACCAGCCCCTCTTTCCATTCCAGACCTAACCCAGACCATCTGCCCCCGCCGGGCTTCGATGACATGTACCTGTGAAGGCCTCAAGAATGTAACAGCCCAGCCTTCCCTCCACTGTCCTGGAGCTGCCGCCGCTGGCCCCATCAGCAACCGTGTTCTTGCGGGCTGGGGGCAAGGGACCCTGCCCATGTGTTTGCGGGCCGGCTGAGATCGCCTCCCCACCCCCTGTCAGAGCCAAGGCACCTGCTGCAGCTCTCCACCTGGCTGCATATAGGTCCCAAAGAGACATCATTGTGTCTTTCTCCCCACCAGCTCCCCCACACTTCTCAAGGGAGACTCCGGCAACATCTCCCCCCGGCCCGATGCTGTCCCAGCTGCAGCACTATAAGAACAGAACGCATTTTGGATGTTATTATAAGAACCAAATGTCAATACAAAAATCATGTTGCCAGTCTCCCACTGTTCTTTACTGCCCAGCTCCTTCCATTTCTGAGACTCGAGGGTTTAAATCTTTTTGGGGCTAAATGACTCTTCTACCCACGGCCTGTTCTTGCTTCTTAGGCCCCTTCCCGTCATAAATTGCTTTCTTGCTCCTGACATCACTAAGGTGGGTCCCAGTGTGGTTGCAAGGCTGAAAGTGAGGGGCTGGAAACCCCATAGGGCCACAAGGATGACTTTCACAAGGGCAGGCACACTGCAGAAAGCCTGCGTCATTCTGAGAAGGGCAGCATCCTCCAGTCCCGCCTGTGCGCACATCCTCCGGTCCGTCTGTGCCTGGACGATGGCAGCCTCTAAGCAGAAGAATAAACAGACCTGAAGGCTGATCTCATTTCTGCCACTGACTTACTGAGCTGACCTGAAGGGCTTTCCCCTCCCAGGGCTTTCTTGTTGCCTTTTAAATCTGAGGGGCCCTTCCTACTCTAAAACATTCTGGTGTCTGCTTCTGTGTGTAGCCACCTCCAGAAACGGGGGCAAAGGAAGGAATGAAGTTTCGAGGCTCTGTATGGCACTTACCTACAGAGTAACTCAGTGCCCCTCGGGGCCCGGACAAGAAGAGCCGAGGAACGTGGGCTCCATCTGGGTATGGTATTGAACTCTGGCAGGAGCAGGGAGCCCAGCCTCTGGACACCAGTGGCTGGGGTGGATGGAGGAGCTAGTGAAGCAAGAAAGCACTCAGGAGGGACTTTCACCCCCAGGGAGCCCCAGCCTCTAGAAGCCTGTGGCCTTTGTCCAGGCCCGCCTGACCTCTGGTGTTCTCCGGATCCTTTTCAGCCCGAGGCCTGACAGACGTGGTCAGTGATGAACCCCTGTGCTGGAGTGGAAAGAGCACAATAGAGCACCAGGCTCAGAGGCAAGAGATCAAGGCACTAGTCCCTTTCCCTCCACAACTAGCATTTCATCCATGGGTGGGTCATTTTACTTCTCAGCTCCTTGGGTTCTTTCCCTGTATTAGGGCATACTATTTATGGGCAGAGGGTAGGCTACCAGAGCCTTCCTAAGGTGTGTGCTAATATGCTATAGCCTGGGACTGCCTGTCTGAGTGTGGGTTAGGGGTACACTAAACTGGGGCCTGGGTGGGGGAGGCTAGCATGAGCAGGCTCCCCGGGCATTTCTGGCAGACCCCATCTCAAGCACTGATTTAGTAGAAGACCACCTCACAGCCTTGAGAACATTTCTGCTCTGGAGAGAGACTCAGAGATTGGGCAGAGCTACGAATGCAATCACCAGTCATAGTCTTCTTCCTCAGGGGCCTGCGAATGGGTGGAATGTTTTTGTTTTGGAATTGGTTCATACCTGCTACGGAAAGGACTTGGGGCACTTTGGTCACAGGAGCATCCTTTATTATGAAAGGAAGCATTTAAAGAAACATCACACTAGAAACCATCAGACAAGCAGGGAAAGTGGATCACTTTTAGAACCATGTTTTGAGGAAAAGATGATTGGAACAATAGATTTGCCACGTAGGTTTTCTAGTAGCAAAGGTTGAAAGGATGGTCTTAGACATAATTCTGTTTTCTGAGAACAGAAACTTCATGACTTTCATCTGCAGAATCAGCCATTTTTTGCACGGGTCTTCTTGTATCAAGGACACTGAGGAACACAGACAATGTCTTAGTTGTGTGGGGGGAGGTGAACAGGGCCTTCAGCAGCTTCCACATCATGCTGCCACTTCCCTCCTTCCAGCCGTGAGCAGTCCCCAGGCAGCCAGCGGGAATGGTTGCGGGTATGTCTTGTGGAACTCGAAAGGTGGAAGCCTAACAATAAAATCAGCACTCAATACCTGTTACTTTTTTTTTTTTTAAATAACAGCTTTATTGAGATATACTTCACATACCCATAAAGTTTACCCTTTTAAAGTGTGCGATTCCGTGGTTTTTAGCATATTCACAGTGTAGTGCATCCATCACCACATCGAATTCCCGAACATTTTTTACCACCTCAAAAAGAAACCCCCGTAACCTATTAACAGTTACCCCCGCCCCGGCCCCCCTCCAACCACTAGTCTGTTTTCTCTCTAAGGATTTGCCTGTTCTGGACAGTTCTCCTAAGTAGAATCACACAACATGTGGCCTTCTGTGTCTGGCTTCTTCCACTTCACGTTTTCAAGATTCATGTCCACGCTGTAGCCAGTGTTAAGTACTGCATTCCTTTTGACGGCTGAAGAATACTCCATTGTATGGATCTATACCACATTTTCTTTATCCACTTAGCAGTTAATGGACAGTTGTTGGGTTGTTTCCGCTTTTTGTCTATGAATAATGCTGCTGTGGACATTTGTGTACAGGTTTTTGTGTAGACCTAGGTTTTCATTTCTCTTGGGTGTATACCTAGGAGTGGAATTGCTTGATTGTGTGGCAATTCAGTTTAACTTTTTGAAGAACTGCTAGATTTTTCCAAACTGGCCGCACCATACCCTGACGGTGGGCATGAAGGTTCTAGTTTTTCCACATCCCCGCCAGTACTTGCTAGTCTTCTCGTGTAGAGCCATCCTAGTAGGTGCGAAGTGGTATCTCATATGGTTTTGTCTTCTGTTTGTTTTTAAAAAAAAGAATTTGACCTAGGCTGAGCAAGACAGAGACCAGAACCTGTCACCCCTGGGGAGAAGAGCATGGCTTTGGTAGGAGCCACCTTCGGGTGACCATGGCTGGTAAGCTACAGAGGGGTTGGTTTGACTTGGAAAGGTTCTGGTCAGGATGTGCTATAGGACGGGTCTTGTCTGTAGGGAAGTTCTCATGACCTTTCCAGGTCTAGTGCAGTTCATGGCACTACTTTTGCTTGGTTTGAAATTTCTCATTTACCCAGTGGCTTACAAGGAAAAGAAACGTTCGATTCCAAATCTTTATCTTATGGTGACCTGCCATAGACCACTTGTCCTACCTCTGGCAGCTCCCGTGTCCCCATCTTTTCTGTTCCTTGCCTTGTTTCCTTCCCACTTCTAGAGCTGGCCCTGTTTCTCTTTGCTTCTGTCTACTCCGTGTCCTGGGTCTGGCTGCACCAGGGCCGGGGTAGAGAGGACTACCGCAGCCACACTTCCCAGCTTGCCTGAGCTTAACAGTCTCCTGTGGTGCTTGCTCAAAGTACACAGTACATCCTGGCCACAACCCACACCTCGATCCGGATTTCTAGGGTCGGGCTTTTAAATCTGTTTTTTTATGAGTTCCTCAGATGCTTATGGTCCAGCAAGTTTGAGAACTCCCGAGAAGGAAAGGGAAGACTCTCTATACCCTTGCCACTCAAACCAGCTGCTCCGGCAGCATCACCGGGAACTTGTTAGAAATGCAGAATCCCGGGTTCCACCCCAGACTTAGTAAATGAGAATCTGCATTTTAACAAGTTCACCAGGTGATTCACGTGCACATGAAAAGTTTGAGACGCTCCAGTGTAATATCTGTATCGCTTCCTTTCACCTGGCTATCAGGTGCAAAGGATTCAGCCAGTCTTCTTGGTTCATGACACACTATGACTAATGTATGCAAGAACTCCCTCACTTTGTTTTTCAGGTTTTGCCTCCGTACCCATTCCATTCCCTTGCCCCCATGGGTCAATCACATGTGTTTCATGTATGTGTCTAAATATGCATGTACCCTTGTAAAATAGCATACGTTGTATCTTCAAATCATAACAACCATAATGAGGTAGTGTCGTCATTCTCTACATGAGAAAAAGGGGGTTTGAAAAGGTCCAGTAGGCTTGGCTTCCTCAAAGCCAAGCAGGAGTCTGAGCATCAGGCAGGTATGGGTATGACTCACAGACTTCCCTTTGCTGGTGTGTGGCCTTATCTGCAATGTCAGCCATACCTCTACCTTTAGGATTGTTGCAGGGTCCTACCAAATAGTGTGTCTTATAAACAGATAGTTGGAGCTCAGTGGGTGCCAGTTACTATTACTGAGGCCATACGGATGGATACAGCTGAGGGCTCAGGATAAGGCTGCCCTCCAATGCAAGAAACAAGCATTTATCTGGTGCCCACGGTGTACTCAGTTTTCCTAGTCTCGTGTAGTACTCTAGCCACCCGCAAGGTAAACACTGTTAGCAGCAGTGGTTGCCGTGCTAGGCTTGCCCCTCTAGGGATGGCAGAACCATGATGGGAACCTGGGTCAGCCTGGTTCTCAAGCCAGTGCTCTGTCGTAGAACTGCTGTACCCAGATCCCCACACCCTCTCCAGGGGAGAAGCACGGATCTCTGTGCAAAACCCATTCCTGAAGCTGGAAGTCTCCTTCCCGTCCACGGCCCTCCCCCCTCAGCTAGGCTGAGTGTTAGAGGAAGGGGCCATCCAGGTTCAGCACCCTGGTCAGCACCATCCTGCTGTGCAGCTGCCTCTGGGCCAGGGTAAGCCTAACCATGGTGGCTGCTCTCCAATCCAGGATGGCCCACTCCTGGGGCAGGCAGGCATCCCTAAGAGAAAGGGACCCGGATCTAGGTGTTCTGCTTCCAAGACAGTCCTGCCCTCCCCTCCTTCAGATTAGAATCACAGGAACTCAATTTCATCCTGTAGGCTTCCTGGTTCCCAGGACATAAATTCAAGTGAGAAGCCTATGAAGAAGAGGGGGACAGGCAGAGGGCCTGAGCCATGGTGATCCTGGGCAAGTCCTGCCCCCCTATGGGTTTCCGCATCAGTAAAATGGGGTTAAAGGTCGACCTGACTGTCTCTAAGATCCTGCCCATCTGTGAGAATCCATGATTCTAAAGGGGCCATGGGCCTGGCCCAGTTCAGTACTCCACCCACCTCCTGCCCTCCACCTCTCCCCCACAGAGCTTCCCAACACACTGAAACTACAGGCCTCAAAGTGGCAGCCCACGGCCCAGATCCACCCACCAACATGCTCTTGCCCGCATGTTATTAAATGTAATAAGAGGCATGACGGCATATTATTAAATTTGAGTCTTGACTCTGCTGGGCACCAGCCTGTGTGACCCTGGGCAAGTCACTTAACCTCAGCTTCCTCATCTGTACGATGGAGGTAATGACAGCACCTACTCTGCAAGGTGGTTGTGAAGTTTAAATGAGCTACTAGAGGCAAATGCTTAGAAGAGTGCCTGGCAGAGAGAGAACACGGTATTTCACTCACAAATGGGATGACTGACGTGTGTAATGCATAACTGGTTCAATGAAAGGTACAAACACAAAGTGTTTTCTGTCATCCAGCTGACCTCTGCCAACGCCCCCTTTCTCATCTCCGCATCTACAGCCCAACCAATAACCACTGATCTCTTTGACTCTCAGACTCGGTCCAGTCCAGTTAGAACTGCAGGTGCAGGAGGTCTCCCCTGACCTCTTTTAGACCTTTGCTGCTCCTCTGTGGTAGAATGAGAAGGAAAACAGAAAAG